AAGTGTTGTAAGACTAACCCTTTGTGAGAAGATGTTCAATCATGTTCTTGTAGCTCTCTATAATGTGATTGCCCATATACTTTCATTAGTTGCCTTTTTCATTTCGTGTATACCGTCAATCATTCTTAGACGAACCTGAAATATATTCAATAAGGTATTTTATCGCCCTCCTGATTGTATCTTATATCCGGATGTATGTAGATGATGTGGACTTTGTAAAGTTTTATCAAGGTTCATTTTTCTCTAAAATAAAGAATGTTTATTTTTATTCTCTTCATCTTTCATGTGTTTATGTTTTTCATTCTACGCATTTACCTACTAAAGAATGTTCCATTGCATTTGTGACACTTGATTGGTTTCCCTTAATAAACAAAAATGAACAAAAAAAATTAAATTCTCACTTTTTGTGTTATAGAATCTAAGTTTTTAACATTGATATAACACTTGAACTTGCGATTTATGTATTGTGCTTTTAAGGAGTAAATACAGAATTATACCGATGTAAAAAAGAGACTAGTATTTATTGAGTACTGCATACATTGACACCCTTTGTTTTTGCAAAAAAAAAAAAGGGCTCGACTCTCACAAAATAAAAAAACTGAAGTTCAAAATGTTGAAAAACGAAAAATATGCAATTAAAATTTGTTAAGAAAAAAAAATTCTTGGCCACATTATTTTCCATTTTTTCTTGAACTGTAAAGAGATTTTTTTTTGGAGGAAAAAGAAAAAACATGAAATTTGTACGGAGTAAAAAAGTAAAACCTACTCTTTATATTTTTATTAGGCTGTTTTATTCTTAATTAGGTGTTTCTCCAAAGATTTTACTTGAGAAAGTGATATTAAAAGAGACAAAAACACACATGTATAGTGAATTAATATTAAAGATGAGGAATGTTACAAGGGGATCACTCCACTGCTGGAGTCCGGAAATTAAAGTCACATACCTTACGTCTCTTTTTCAAACAAAAAATTGAAAATCACAGTATACGGAGTATTTCTTTTCAAGAAAATTCCAATCATCCACTTTTTTCATTTAATATATCTTTCCAATTCTGATTTTTGGAAAAAAATACTCCCTCCGTCTCTAATTTGATTATAAATTGCGAGTTACGGAGTAAAATTTCTTACTTTTTGAAATCATTTTATTTACAAATTGGTATATCAATAAGATATAAAAATTACATATTAAAAAACTACGTGAAAAGTTCTACAAAACAAGAGGTGACAAAAATATTTTATTTTATCAACTACTTAATGAAATCGCGTAAACAAACAAAAATTATCGAGAAGAGAGAAAAAAAATTGTAATCCATTTAGGGATGGAGGGAGTATGTGAAATTGAATTTGATAGTATCAAAAATTAATTGGAATTGAAAAATTCAACTCCATCTAAATCAATTCCATTGAATTTCAACTCTCAATTCAATTTCTGTCCATTCAGTGTATCAAACAAACTCGAATGCTCCATTTGATACACAAAATTCAAACTATGAAATTAGAATTAAGAACAATAATTCCAATTATGTCATTTGGTATGTAGATTTGAAATTAGTACCAAAAATAGAATTGAGGATTTCAATTCCACCCAAATCAAATTTAATAGAATTTCAACTCCCAATTTAATTCCAATTCTGTGTATCAAATAGACCCTTAACATAGCTAAAATGAAATGATTTTCGATTTAATTTATTTGGACGATAACATAAAAGTTAAAAATATATGAAGGCACAAACATGGAAAATCAATGCAATGGAGAAAATGCAAATGTTCACTGGCAGAGGACTGCTTTCAAAAACCTCTATAATTTGGCATACAACAAGGAGTTCAAGAGCAAGTGAATGAAATAGAAAAACACAAAAAAGCAAGATAGTAGTCTAGTATAATTGCAATTCGAAAGCTTTTGACCTAGCACAAATACCACATTTCACATGCCAGTGAACGCCTTCTTTCCACCACTAGCGGAGCCGGCAGGAATCACCTTCAACACATTGAACCTCACAGTCTTGGATAACGGCCTGTTGAGGCAAAACAGCAAACAGTCATCGCATTTGACAAGAAAAACCAATCAAACACAAACAGTGGTAAGTGTTCAGATACTCACCTGCATTGACCAATGATAACATGGTCTCCCTCTTTCACACGGAAGCAAGGTGAGATGTGTGCAGCAATGTTTGAATGCCGCTTTTCGTACCTGTAGTGAGTAGTATAATGGAAAATGGAATTAACGAGTTTGTTATGAAATAAAAAGACGTGAGAATGAATACTAAACGCAAGGCTAGTATTACCTCTGGTATTTCTTCACAAAGTGAAGGTAGTTGCGACGAACAATGATTGTTCTATTCATCTTTGCACTGTGGCAAGTGCCAGCAAGAATGCGACCTCTGATGGAAACATTGCCAGTGAAGGGACATTTCTTATCAATGTATGTTCCTAAAAGGGAGAAAGAGAAAAACAGGTCAAAACAAGTCATATTTTTTTAGATGGAATTCCAAATTCCCTAGTTAGAGAATAACTTCATTACATTTTGTTGCACAATCCGGTAGAGATTGCTAGAGGCAAATCCATTAAAAGTTAAAATATGCAGTTACTAAAACTTCAAGTGAATTTTCAAAGAGTAAAAAGAAGGGTAAATGCAGGTGAATCCATACAAAAAAATCTTTGAAATAGATTCACATCAAATATATGACAACTATTCAGAACATAGGCATAGAAATCTTAAGTATAACATTCTCTATTGGAATAACATATGGATAAATTTGCTATAGATTTGTTGCAAAATATAAAAACATATGAATAAATACACACACATCGAATGACACATATACTGAAAAAATTAGGCCTTTTCACATTCTGCAGAAGTTTTAGAAAAATGGAAAGATCGAAGAATCCATACAAACCTTCAATAGCCTCACGAGGAGTCTTAAACCCCAAACCAATGCTCTTCCAGAAACGATTGCCTCCCTTTCCGGGCCTCTTACCCTTACCCGTTTTCTTCGAGCTGCACACGAAAATAAAAATCGAAACTTTTAACCTAAAACCTTGATTTACCATTTCTATCAATATAATCCATCGGGATATCTCAAGATGTGTTCGAATAAGGATATCTACCATACCTGAGAAAAACTCCCGGCTGCTTCAAGAAAGCCTTCTCAGTCTGCAAAACAATCCAAATCCATGAAATCTTTCCAAACCTATAATAAAAATTGGAGTCGAAAATGTGTGTATCTGATACTAAATGAAAGAGAGAAGGACCTGTTCCGCCATTGCTAGGCCGCAGAAGATACGAGGAAGAAGAAGAAGATGGCAGCTACAAACCCTGCGGCAAACTAGAAGGGAAGGGACTGAAGAAACCCTAATGCGAATATATAGTGTTAGCACGGGTCCATTATAAATAGCCTTAAGGCCCTATTCGATCCAACCCCAAACAAAAATACATTATGTGCGCACAATATTCATCTTTTTACTTTTTACGGAGTATTTTTTTAATAACTCCAATACCCCTTGGTGTAATATTTGTTTAATTGTATAATACTTCCTCTGTCCCAAATTATAATGCATATTCACTATTCTCAGGGTCAAATTTCATTTACTTTCTTTCTCTATTTTAGTTAGCAATTTGATAAAATAAAATGATATTGTCACTACTAGTTTTGTAGATTTTTTTATGTAGTTTTTTAATATGTAATCTTTATTTTTTAATTTTATACCATTTGTCATATAAAATGGTTTGAAAATAATTTCAGTCAAACATTGTAAACCGAAACAGGCGTACGAAGAATCTTGTAGTGACTTCCTTAGAGCATTGAGGAAAAAATTTCCTCACCAATCTTTGTTTACATTTAAGATAAAAAAGGGTATTCTCTCTATCCAAAAACTAATTTCTCGGTTTGCTTTTCGTGGTCAAACTTTATTTAATTTTGACCGTATTAAAAATGGGCCTTATCGAGGCAAGTTGATCTGGTCGGCTACAAACTTGGCGGCAATCAGGCAAAAAAATACATTTCATTTCCTTATAAATTTAATACGACATATCAATAAATTAATATTAAAACATAGTTTTAAAATATTTTAATTTTAAAATATAAGTTTAGGTATAAATAAAGATATTAATAGTCAAAGTGTTACATTAGAGATCGTGAAAAGTCAAATCGAAAACTAAGGTCAGGACAAAGGGAATACACGCGTAACATATTTCTACGCTGATGGGAGAGCTTTTACTATTATGCCAACATGTTCTCAGAATTTCTTATTTATTCTAATTTTAAATTTGTAATGTAATGCAAAAATAACGCATGTAATTGTTTGTCATAATAAATACTCCCTCCGTGCCAAATTAAATTGCTTATTTACTATTCACGTAATTAAGCTTCATTTATTTTTTTCCTATTATTATTATTATTTATTTCATAAAATATTATAGATCTTTTGTAATATTTAAATATGCAATTTTTTAAATTCTACACCGTGTTTTATATTAAATGATCTGAAAGTAACTTAATCAAATATTATAAACCAAAACAAACAATTTAAATAGAAATAGAATGAGTACTAACCTATCTATCCCCAAAGGCTATGCCTTTAAAAAAATCATTACTTATTTTAAGTAATTTATTAAAATAAAATAATTACTAGTGGAGTATATTATATCACTCATTCTATAAGTGTTGATATAGTTTTTAATATATATTAACTTTTTCAAGTTTATAGCAATAGAAAATTGAATTCAATTGGTTTTCAAAAAAAAAACAAATCAAAATATAGTATACATCCGTGACCAAAATGTTTAGTTTGTTTGGAATATCACTTATAGAGAATAAATAATATGGTCCTTGGAGCATACTTATTTTATACTCCGTAGATTATGAGACATAAATAAATAATCTATTGGGCCTTGTAAAACAATAGTGATCCAACTATGAGTCCATAAAAAATACGGAATAAGTAACAATGTCCACATTACACGAGGACTTTTGAACCACTATAGCACAACTCATAGATCAAACCGAATCTTCTTTTTTTTTGAAACATGATCAAACCAAATGTTGATACTAGAAACAAATAGCATTCTTACCTTATTTTTTTTAATAAAAAAAAATACATATCCGATAAACGCATATAAACAACAGAGAGATCAATTACATTTTAGATTTAAAAAAAACAAGATAAAAAACATTCAGAACATAACAAATCATGAAAAAATTTTCGTATTTCGAAGCAAAGAGATCTAGCCAGGGGAGAACAAATCAAAATGACATTCCGATAATTATCTTAAGCATCCTATCATCATATAAGCTTCAAACCAAAGATAAATGTTCCTCGGATTTGCCAAGATGGAGAAGTCCAAGAAATAACCTTAGCTGGTAGCAAGTGTCTCCTTAGAACGATACAAATCCAAAAATCATCCGTGCATTCAGTCCACACCCGGCAAATTTTAATCACACCCGCTGCATTAGTTGAAAGGTTAAACAATTATGAGTACTTACAAAGAAGGGTTTTTTTTTGGAAAACACAAAGAAGGTATTAATAGAAGGCAAATATAGAATTCTACACCATTTAATAGGTTTGGGTTTGCTTGTTGTTTCAAGTGATTATTTTAGCAACAGAATCTAAAATCATCTAAGATGTGCTTCTCATTCTCAGCCTCTGCTTCTTTGTCTCTAAAAAACTGAAATCAAGCACTCTCAAGCATACTACACGGCTTCTCCCAAGCAAAAGCCGAAAATCATTCCAAGAACCACTCCCAAACACACCCTAAATGCCATCTACTTGGCGAGCAGGAATGTGACTTACAACATAAAAGCACAATAAACCAGTTATGCATCCTTACACTTAGATCATGCGTTGAACAACATCTGTTCACATGAGAGTATGAGACAACAACAACAACCATATGATGAATGTACGAAATGTGGTTAAAGTTTAACTACATTGGTGCATCTTATTATATGTGCTACAATAATGTACTCAATCCCTCATACAACTAATTACTCCCTCCATTCCCTAACTGCGTTCCAAATTTGTTACTCTCCCCATTCTATTTCTTTCTTACCATGACTGCAACACTATGTCCATGAATATCTTTACATGGATATAACTTGTAAAAATACGATAGTTTAAAACCTACATTTCAAAATGAATCCATTGGTAATAAGTTCATATCATACTCCGTAATTCAATGTAATATTTCCTCATTTCATAGTAAAAGTACATAGAGTTTGACCAAAAAAAGTCAAATAGAAGGAAAGATATACGACTAGGAAGGAGGAAGTAATATTATAGGTTGGAAAAGACAACAATACTCCTAAACGAGTTGTCACTTCCACACAAAAAACTTACCAGTCATTTCACCAACCAATCAAGGGGCATATTTAGAAAGTCAAAGTGTGAACTTCATTTGGGGAAGGAGGGGATGGAGGATTGTCTCTTTTCCCAAAACTAACTTCTTGACTTCCAAATGAATGAAAACAACACTTTCATTTTCTTCCTCCACCCCAAAAAAAGAACAGATCAAGAATTTCCCCTGTGGGTGGGGTATGTTTCCTAGATCAAACAACAACATCCGTTCATAGTGAGAGTCATTTCCTCAACCAACCCCATACTCATGAAGTCTCTTCTAACTGTCTTAGTCGAAATCAACTTAGGTTCTCATCTACTTCTATGTGAAGATGTTGTATTTATATATCTTCATTCTTCATAGCTTCAAGCAGATGGTAATGGGATTCAAGAGTACTACTTTTGCTCATCTTATACTAAATTGGAACAACTATTTTTGCTCTTTACCACATTATTCTTTACTTATGTGCTTCTTAGTTATGTCACACACCCATCTTTCATCCAAAACTCCAAGCAATGTAGTAAATCTAATAGGTATCACATAGAACTTCCAATCCAGTAGGTGGTAATTTCTATCACAATATTCTGGATGCATTCAATCACTTTCTACATAACATCTCTGTTTTTTTACATGGATAAGGTTGTGTTTGTGCACATCCTGACTCCCAAACCCCAACGGAGTTGGGATTATATTGGATCTGTTGTTGCTGTTGTTCAATTCATTCACTTTGTCCATCCTGCATTGATAGCTCAATGTGCGTTAAATTCACATCCATACTCTGGGAGTCTGTGTTACATTTGTTTATAACTTAAAGCCCTTGCATTCCAAAACAAATCTTAATAATTCAAGCTTAATATTTACACCTTCAATGGGAGCATGGTTATCAAGTCGTCACCAAATAGTCCATTAGGCGGAAACTAAGGCAATGGGTCAGTTGCCTGATTGTCCATGTTTGCCTAAACAATGACCGGGTCGACTTTCCTCGATAAGGCCCATTTTTAATTGGTCAAGCGTTTAAAAAAACATTCCCGACACTTTTCTTATTTCAATTTTAAACCCTTCTGACTCGAGAAAAGAGAGAATCACCCATCATCCAAGTTCGAACAGAAAGATCGTCTGTCGTTGTTCTTCCATGCCATCACGCGTTGCCCATCGCCCTCGTCTTCCCTCTGGTCACCCAGCCTTCTGTCACCCATCAACCTGTTGTCTTCTTTTGATCCAGGACTCCAGGTAAGTTTCATTAAATCTAAAACATATTTTTTTTGTGGGGACTAATATCGCTTGTTTCTTTTTACGTAATTGTATATTCAAGTCTAACCTCAATTGCCCACGTTCTACCCTCTAGTTTAGCTGCCCTTCTCTTTGTGTTAATTTTGTATTTTAGTTTAAACTTGCATGTATTGATTGAGCCTGGAGATGGGACTTTTACTTGAAATATTTGTTATTCGTGGTGTTTTAAATTGTTGTTGACACTTATTTCCTTATTATCTTACATTATGATTACACTTTTGCTTGGATACTCATTTCTGTTTGTTGTTACATTATACGGAGTATTAATTTATTGTTATAATATCATGTACATTTGTAATATATACTCCTGTTCACAAATAAAAGAAACTATTTGGTTTACCATGGTTGATTGAAATCTGGTCAAAATATCATAGAAAGAACATATAGTTTGACACGTGAATAAAATCTGTCTTTTATTTTGGGATGGAGGAAGTATATTTACTCCCTCTATCCGTCTACTTTGACTTTTTGAGTCAAACAGAACGAACTTTAATCATCTATTTTTGAAGTATTCTAAAAAATAAATCTAATGAAATTATTTTTGAGAAATTTTATCAAGATAGTGGTTAGCTCGACTATGTTATCTCACGTTTGTCAATTTCAAGTGGAAGAAATGAGGATGTGTGGGTTGGATAGAATTTGGAATGAGGTTATTCAGGACGGGTGAGAGTAGGACATGTGAAAGGTAAGTTGTGGGAAGCTAGGGTGACATGGTTTGGGCACGTGAAGTTGAGAAGTGCAGAGGCCCTAATGCGGAGATGCGAGAGACTTACAATAGTGGGCGGGGGAAGGGGTAAGAAATAAGAATAGACCTACGAAGAGATGGAAGGAGGTGTTAGATAGGAATTAAGACTTCAGGATCTTACTGGGGATATGACCTTAGATAAGAAGGTCCGGAGATCAAAGATTAGAGTAGTTGGGTAGAGCTTGGGGCCTAAGTAGCAGTGATTGTGGGTGCATTTTTTCTCTTATCCATGTGTGTTTTGGATCTAGTTGCTAATGTTGATTTATGTGCCTCATGTCTATATGCACTTACTTTGCCCTCAGTTTGCTTGTTGCTCTTACTTCGTTCATGCTTTTGTGCCTACTTGGTTGATTTACTTTTTTTCTTGAGGTGTGGTCTCTTTTTAACAGCCTCTACTTTTGAGTAGGGGTATGGTCTGCGACTCTGCGTAAACAAATCCTTCCCAGGCCAGGCCCTACTTTGTAGTTTGTATGGGATTTTTCTGGGTTTGTTGTTTTTGTTGTTGTTGGTGGTGGTGGTGTGTGTAGGATGCCTAATTATCCCTTAGGCGGGCACCTAATTGATTAGGCAATGTGAAGGTCCAGTTGTGCCTTGCTAGTCAACCTTGAATGCGAGACAATTCATATTGAATTTGGCTAGTTAGTAAGTTCATCCAAAACTAGTGTGAGCATGTACGATATGAATCCGAGGCATATTCTTCATGTAGTGTTAGTACAATCAGGAACAAACTAGAATCTCCTGTGTAATTCACACCAGTCACTACTCCCTCGTAATATCCCTTATTGCCTCAATATAGGCCAGCCACCTATACTCTCTTTCCTGACACAGTCCATGTGATATGTGTGTTGTGGTGAAAGTTCCCACTCCTGTATTAAGCTGGGGAAATTAGTCAGGTAAAAGAATTACCTTTTGACGTTTTGATCCAGGTTGTGATCGAGGGTCACGTGGACGCCGAGAGGAGGATGCCTGATCTATATTCTCTTGAGCCTGCAACCAATGTCTAACAAGTAAAACTGCTATGTACTAAACATGGTGAATTTTTCTATTTCACAAAGACACGGAACCCTTTTAGAGATGATTGCTGGACGGATATGATCCAAAATCCACTGAGAGAGCATATTAAAATGTTAGCGTACCTGTGCTGAAGCTTGTGAACTTCTATCCTCATCATCATCATCATCATCAGCTTGTTCGCTGGGTGAGGCATTGGGTGCCGTTTCAATGCTTTCGGATATCATTGGCATGATGTGACGCAGTATATTTGACAAAAAAATTCCTTCGTCTTCTACTATTGATCCAGTTTCTTGAGAAGCAGCTGTATTTTGAGTTGCTCCATTCTCACCAGTAGCAGGATTTGTATTCATGCCATGAACACTGGCACTCTCATCAATCTGAATCTGCTCACCAGGGAATAATGCTCTCAAAAAGTTTTCAACTCTACTTGACATTTCACCAGTTGAGCTACGATTGACTGAAACAAACACCACAATGTGCAGAGCTTAGTGCTTGCAAGTTTTGATTTCAAACCAGATGATATAGATACATAGAACATATCAAAATATAAATGGACTATGCAATCTTGTATTGTATGTCGTTTAGCAATATATAAGGTGTTGCTAAATCCACCCAAAAAATGGCTATATCCACCCCTTTCACATAAATTTGCTAAATCCACACCAATATCAACTTTATATTAATGGGTGTGGATTTAGCAAATAAGGTAAAAGGTGTGGATATAGCCATTTTGGGGGTGGATTTAGCAACACCCATAAACCCAATTCTATAAGGAAGGTCACATATCAACAAGAGAACATGCAAGAGAGAAAAAAAATTTAGTAATAGAAGTTGAAGAAATAACACAAAAAAAGCATGTTACCATTCACTCCAAACAGTCTAATGTTTCGCTGTCCTGCAGCCTCTGTGTTTGGCGGTTGCCCAATCTCAACACCGGGTGGAAGATTTGGCTCAGATCCTTGTGAAGCATCTGAATTATTATCATTTCCAAAACTGAATTGCTGACCTCTTCCTAAAACTGAGTTGATGAAATCCATATAACTTCGAGGTGCATCAGAAGGTGCACGTCCAACAGAAGCTGGAATCGCAGCAACCAAAGTCCTAATAGGAAGTACCCTAACCTCCACACCCCTTGTGATAGAACTACTATTACCTTCAGTGCCTCGATGATTCGAATCTTCACCATTGGGAGCGCCAGGAGCAGCTTGGCCCGGATTCTCCGTAACAGTTGAATCTCTACGGCTAACAGTGGATGGCATATATGCACCTAGTGGCAAGGGTGAGTTTTCAATGAGATTTCAAGTACATATAAGCTAAGAATCCATGATCCAGATCTGTCAATCATGAAGTGAAAAGCATCCAGAAAAGGGGAAATTTAAAAGACTGAATTAATTTGTCTGCACACATTATGAAACTAAATCGCTGTTCTGCTCACATAAACAAAATGAAATTTCATGGATGTCTGACGCAGCCTCAGGAGTAAAAGCATCACCACAGAATAGTACCTGTTCGTATTCTGATATCAATATTTCTAGGGATGAAGCTAGATCCTGTGGGGCCGCCAGAAATTCCAGATCCAAGTGGTAATGAACCAATTCCTGTGCCTGCTTGAAAAGGTTGTGGCTATACAGGGTTCCAAAAATATTTAAATCAGAGACATAATGTCTGAATCAGCTCAGTAAGCATATCAGTGTGGCACGCTTCAAAGAAAAGGGTGACAGTGTATCTAGATTAGATTAAAATTAAGAGAAACACCTGAACCATTATTGGATTGGGTCCAGTTGCAGATACAAAAACAGCAGGCCCGGCATTCACCACAGCATTATCCTAAGTTTTAAAACCATCAGTAAAACTTAGTTGTTCAAAAGATTTCCAACTTAGATGAGGTGGCATAAAGCATGCAAATTCATAATCAATTTCAGGAAGGAAAAGCAATCACACCGGTGTTTGACCGATCCGTAATGTCATTGTTGTCCGCCCTAGCTCAAGTAATAAAGCGCCTAAATTTTGAAAAAACGCTCCTGATCTCAAAGCAAGAGATTGAATCCTCATTCTATCTGTTGTATCTGTTACGTTTGCCTGATCCTCTAGTTGCCTTGACAGTTGCTGGAATATAAGAAAGCATTCCAAAAGGCTCATCACAATTTACAACATGGGTGTTGCTTTATCTCTTATAATGAAAAGTGAAGCACCAAAAAATAAATACAGAAACTCTAATGTCTACATATATAAATAGTTATGGATGTATAGCAGATAAGTAGGAAAACACAATCTAACAAATTAAAAGTCTTGAAAATTATAAGCTTATTGGCTACGGAGTATATGACAAGAAAAAATTTTTGTGACAAAAATTATATGCAGATATCTCAAAAAAACAAAATATTAGTAAATTTGACCACAACTTGAGGTTGAGGGGTTTCAAGTATTTATTCAAACAATAATTGAAAATGGATATTCATTTTATTTCAAAAGAATCTCAAGGTTGAGATATTCTTGTTCACACTTTCACATGATACAATCCTTATGCTGAATTAAGCCTAAATCCCATAACAATTTCACATTTTGTACGAACAAAATGGAAGTCTGGACCAAAACCCAATCTATTTCTTCTAAATGTTCTACATCCTTCATTAAATGGAAGTTTATAAGGAAAATTTATCAATGAAATAGAAATTGAATATAAAATCAACTAAGCAAAAAATTGCTATATACTCATGAAGATGTTAGGAATTTAGGATCACTTCCATGAGTTCCATCCACTTTTAGTTTCTAGTTTGTTGTCCACTTGTTTCTAGTTAGTTGTCCACTTTATCCACTCTTGTGAAACTATAACTTACTCCCTTTGTTTCTAGTTAGTTGTCCACTTTATCCAAAACACAGATATTTAAAAAGTTACTTAGAGTTTTAAAACTAATCACAAATTTACACTCATGTGTGAACTCGCTGACATTTAATATAGGTTTTCCAATGTGTTCAATATTTAGTTTTGAAGCACAAAGTAGGGAAAATTTAATTAATGCTCCCTGATGTTTCTAAGGGACACATAAAAAGGACCGCAAGAATTCCCAAAATTGGAATAGAGGAAGTACATCATATGCCCAGAGGCTTCATACTCCAGCCACTACAAATTTGTAGTTTAGCACACATATCTCTCGTAGTTAAGACCCAGTTCAGGTACATTCACCCCCCCCCCCAAAGAAAAGTGTGTAGACCTTACTTCATTGATTTCCTCCAAAGCAATCAAAAAATTACTTTAAAAAAAACTAGTTCACAACAACTCAAAAGCCTACCAATAAGCACTCTGCAGCTTGCTCAACAACTAATTGTCTAGTAGAAAGCATCACATCTGCCAACAGCTCTGGTGTTGGAAGGCCTCCCTGCTCAGGTGAATATGAGGAAACATTTGAACCTCGTCTGTTGCTTCCACGTGTTCCAGAAGCCAGAGAAATTCCACCTGGTCCTCTAACTGCAAATCACACAAATATACACATTAGTGTGTACTAAGGTGCCCCTGTCCCACTCCCTCATGCATTTTTTCCTCTTTGACCTTTATACATAGAATCCACACATTACCACTTGCATCAAAATCTTCCCTCAGATGAGTCAAGTACTGTGACAAAGTTGCCAAGGAGTCGGGAACAACCTGCAGAGAAGTTAATTCACTCGATTAACAATATATGGGTAATGAAAAACATAGAAAGCAATTGCATGCAAGATGTAGGATGAAGAACATGAACTTTAATATGTCAAAGGGAAGACATATTTGTCAAGGAACCAACTCAACCAAAAGCTCAAGCTCGTGGTTGTGGCCCAGGAAAGGTTTTTTATATTCTCACGATATTTCAATTTGAGAATAATGTAAGAAATGAAGAATATGACAAGGGAAGACATTCCAATTTGAGATGATGTGAGAGGGTAGATGTATCATCAGCAGGCTTAAATTTACCGGCAGTTGCATGGAATCCAGTGGAACATTTACTGGTCGAGCATAAGCATCAAAACTTGAATTAGATTGATCCCTTGAACCACCTTGTTCACTCTGCTGTCTAGAAGAATTTCTTAAATTACCAAGACCCTGATCAACAATTCAAGGGGAAAAAACATGAGGTTAGAATCAGCAACTAATTACTTAATCCTTGGTGCTAGCTTGCTTAAGGCAAAGCAATCTACACTGCCCTACACCCACAACTTGAAGGTATGAGACTACCCCCACCCCACTCCCAGAAAAAAATAGGACCTGCTTTATTTGCCTGAAAAAAATGTGACACAATTTTTTAAAGATTTGATCTTGTGTGGTCTGAACTCTGAAGTGGTTTTCTTTGATTTTCTTGTCTTAAAAATATAATTTGGTCTTGATACAAGTGTTTCTGATCTTGCTTGATGTTATCTACATAAATAATTCTGTTCTGGTATCAACAAAAAAAGAACAAGTAGTAAACCATAAGAGTGAGGTGAGAGGGAGTAAAGAATTTCCCACCAAAGAAGTTAAAAGAATGGAATCAAACAAAAACTACAAAAACGAATGACAACTGCAATTGGAGAACTACAAGTGAAGAAATTCATCTTAATGGAAACTTACATTGAGATCAATCCCCTCACTTCCACTCCCAATATTCGCAATTCCAATGGAACCAAGTAGAGCTGAGAAAATCTACAATATCAAATGAATGAACTGATTTGAGCTTGTCGATATGTGGATGTACAGATTATATAAGATGTAAGTGGGGGAAAAGGTGTACCCGGCTCATATCAGAAGCCACCCCATCGGAGGGTTCAGATAAATTTAAAGTTCCCACAAATAGACCAGGGCCAAACGAACTGCTATAAGTATTGCCTGGACTTGATGCATCAGAGGCTCCTGCAATCTCATTGTCCTTGATTGAGAACAAAATGCTACTAAATAATTGAAAATGTTTAATAAAGCCTGGTCCTTCAATGCTCCTTTTCTTTCTTAATCATTTATGTATTAATAGTGTGCTGGGCTAAGCGGGTAGGGTGGTGGTTGCACATACTGACATGCACATAAGCATATATCCTATTAACCAAAACTCTTAAATGGCTGTAGCTTTTAGTAAACCTATAACTGTCATTTCACTTCATAAGCTCATACTTCCTTACGAGCTTTTTCTAAACCCAAAAGGTAAGTCATTGCAGAAAAGTTAACTACCTAGATAAGGCACATATCTAGCAGAAGAAGAAACAAAGGTATAACAAAGTTATAGTTTCTTTTGAACTCTTAGATGTAGTTAGAGTAATGAACCTTGAGTGTCAGGGTTGCTTTCTGGTGGATGTTGCCTCACAACCAGATGCAGAGTGTGCCCATCTTCCACGTCTAATAGGGGTACTCATTAAGGTTTTCACCGAAAAGAGTATTCCAATACCACTTCACAACCATAAAAAAAAAGAAAGATGTAGAAAGAGTAGAGATAATAATTACTCATGAAACGAAAGAACCACTTCATGTAGTGACTAGATCTGCACTACAGCATGTCAGCAATCATGAGGGAGAACTTCCAGAAGTAGTCATCAAGGTACAAAGGTACATGGGACCTCACATGTCTCTTAAATCCTTTCATCTATTAATATCAACTAATTTGATGTATGTACCAAGTGATAGACATCAGTGAAATCAAGGTTGCTATAAGCACTAAAGTTAATTTTATTAATCCAAAAAATGTTGGTTTGAAAATGAGAAACATAAGGATACGATAAGCTGAAAGAAGTTGATCATCTTTCAAAACTTTTCCACGACATATAAGTCGTTGCTGTTCTGACAAGACACCAGTGACTGTTGCAATTTGATCCTTTAATGCAGGAACAGGAACCTGCAGTGAAATAGACAAATTGAGAAGACCGCGCTCAAACTTACATGTTTGGAGTAATAACTTAGAGGCCAAGCAGAAAATATCAGAAAGTAGTTTACTATCATGTCCAAAGGGTAACAATGAGATCCATGGCAGGGACATGCATTTTCATTTCCAATTAACATCTAAGTGCAACTGTAAGTCTTGTAACCGTTAAAGTTTTGCATTTTCTGTGGATATGACACTATGAAAGAGTACGTGAGCAGTTTGAGCACAGTGAAATGTATATCTACAAAAGGATGCTAAAAAATGCAAGAAAAGACTTCCTAGCAAAAAAAATGTATACCTTTTGTGTAAATAGTAAAGTATTAATAATTGAAATGGGGGTTTTAAGAATATATATTTACACATTTGTCTACACGCATGGTGTATGTTTGTGAATCCAATGTCTTTATCTTAATCTCAACAGTGGCCTCCGGACATTCAGCCTCATTGATCCCAGAAACTTTTATGTACTCAGCTCCATTACTTCCCATCTTTTCCCTTTCTGATCAACACCTGAACATATAAGAGTCAACACCTTATAAAATTAAACATAAAAACAGAAAAATTATCCAACTTCATTCATATCAAATCAAAATGTATAAACAGTCTACACTGGACATTTTGAAATGTGGAATATTGAATATGGCAGTTCAATCAACTGAATCAAGGGTGTGTGGATGGATGAAGACATTTAGAAGTTCATGTGTGGACATTTAAAGGGCAGCGTTATTGTCGAGGCACTCAAAAATTCAGGCACAAACCCATGAACACATAATGACATAGGAGGAAGCCCGCTGATGAAAAACTCTAGGCAACAAAAACTCAGTCTTTTGGAGATTTCGTCCAGGATATGTAAACTAAAACAAACAAAAAAACCTACTTAAAAAAATTAAAGGCAGAAGTCACCAAAAACATAACCAATTGAAACTAAACTAACAAAACGCCTCAAGGCATGGACCCTCAATTCCTCAATTCCTAAGAGCACATAGATTCAAGACTCAAATTTGTGAACTTTAGGTAAATGATCTCAGAGGAGACATAAAATTATGCAAGATTCCCAAAAACGGATCCATAAACATCATATCTTCATAACTGAAAAGCTATTTTCCTTTTTTACCCAAGCAGCAAACTACACGCACTCATTATTCCCAAACTCGAAATAGAAAAAAAAAGAAGATTGACAGACTGATCAAACGCGGGACTTGAATCGATAACCCTATATAGTCGAGCAGCAAAAGACGGCCTGTAAAAGTGACGAGCGTCGAAGGCGCAAACCTGGCAAGCGTCGCGATCGAGAGCGTTCCGGGAGATATGAATATTCACTGGGCAAGTCAGCAGCCAGGGACAGGGACAGGGACAGGGACAGGGACGGAGGAGTGAAAATTTAGCTATGAAAATATGGAAGGCAATATATGGAGTACGTTTAGATTTTGGGTAGATTGGATTTTTTTTTTTTAAAGATTTCCCATTCATTTCATATTTTTTGAATAAAATTGAGAAATCTCTATAAAAAAAAGTGTATTGTTATATTGTTAAAAATAATTATTTTAAAATCAAAGTTAAAAAAAAGAAAATTTTCCTAAAACAATCCCACTTTTCATTTATTTACGAAAAACAAACATTTTTCAAAAAATTCGTTAAGTGGTCGTTATTTTCTTAACGACGATCCAAAACTTGCATACATGCGGAAAGTTCATATTGTTTCTCGTGACAATGAAAAGTGTGATTATTTTTTTAAAAACATGGAAAGATTGGATTATTTAAGATGATTTTTCCTTTTAATTATTGATTATGCTAAATTTATACTCCATATTACATATTGACTAAAGTAAAAAAAATTTAAAAATCACAAGATAAATCTAATATAGTAAACATAATTTATCTAAGTTAGATGAATCTAATATAGAAAATTTGTATTTAGTGGTTGATCAAAGTTTATATATTTTAACTCTAAAAAGTCACACTAAATGAATACTATGATACGATTATAGTAATCTTTTCAAAATTTTAAAACTAAAAGTTGACATTGTTAAACAGGTTTGTAGATCCAAATCAATTTAAAACGAATAAAGCTTGGGGAATTTCACTTTGCACACATTTTTGCATTAACAAAAAACATATGTTTATTGTATGTGCTCCACTCACAGTAAGCATATGTATTTGCATGCGGTGTGCACAATGAGATTCCCTTTGCATCTCTCATTTAAAATTGGACGTGGCAATCGTATCAATTGAATTGATTCCAGTTTAGATTTTCTTTGTTTGGATATACGTTATAACCAAATCAGTTTAATCTTGGTTCTGATCTATTTTAGTTCTATACATTTTTGTTGTAGTTTGATTCTAGGTTGTTTAGGTGTGATTCATATATCAATCATTTTGGATGTATTTCGGTTCAAGATATCTTTTGGTACATGCATTTTTCGATTTTAGATATATTTATATTTAAGAAATCACCCTACATAGCACTCTAACTCACCCTAAATTACGCATCTAGCACTACTTATTGTTTTTAACAAATTTAGCACTTTTTTGGGGTCAATCCTTTCCTATCATGCCCTTTAACCTTTTTTCTTTTTCTCATTAAACATTACGGCACTCCCTAGGCCGCACGTACTCTTCTTGCGCTCGGCCGCACGTTCTCCTTCAGTCGCCCGCCATCATGTGTCCTCGGGCCTTCTCCCACGATTCCTGGGCCGATCAGCAGCGGCAATCATCAAGTTATCTCCACTTCCTTCATCGATGTGGCTAATCATTTTCTCTTCTCCTTCAATTTTTAATTTTCATTCCTTCATCCCTTTATTCGGATTTCCATGTATTTTTAGTTTTAATTATTGTGTTTTATTCGTACTGAAGATTAGGTGGTGTGAAATCAATTTTTGAAATACCTAGTATTTGTTCCTTTTGAAAAATTAGGTCTTTTGAAAGGCATTGTAATTTTGGCAGTGTTAAGATTATGTGCTATGGTGTGGGCAGTGTGAAGATTAAATGCCTAAATGTTGTCCTGCATTTTTAGTTTTATTTATTTCCTTAATCCTTAATATCGGAATTTGGTTCTTATCCTTAAAAAAAACTTTGCATGTCAAAAAATTAAAAAATAAATTTACCTAAAATAATCCCACCTTTCATTTATTTTCCAAAAATATGTATTTTCAAAAAATCCTGTTTAGTGGCCGTTAGTTTTTTAACGGCGGCCCAAAACTTGCACACATGTAGAAAGGTGAGATTAATATGTATTTGTTTAATATTCTGAAGTTTGCAATGTCACTAAAACGCCTATCATGTATATATATACGATGTGTTTTTGTATTCACCACCTCCATTAAATCCAGCATTTTCATTGCATATTAGGTTATACGTCTATTCTTTGAGTTCATTCCTTTATTTAATTTAATTGAATTTTTTCTCTTTTATTATTTAAAAGGAGCATCACAGATGGGTCCAAATTTGACGATATTGCTACGTGTTGATGGGACATGGGATACTCATGGAAGCTTTATATTGTGGCATTGTAGATATATTGTGGCAGTGTAGATATATTGTGGCAGTGTATATATTGTGGCATTATATTTCAGACATTGAATTTTTGGCGGTGCATATATTGTGGCAGTGTATTTCAGACATTGAATTTTTGGAAGTACATATTGTGGCTAACATTAAGGCAATGTATATATTGTGGCAGTGTAGATATATTATGGCAGTGTATATATTGTGGCAGTGTATTATATTATATCTATTCTCTTAATCTCTGAGTAGTTTTTCTCTCATTTTACAATACGTTATCAGCATGAATTTGCTCAAAAATCTCAGAATCATTGTTCTTCTCAGAAGGTATATTTATTTAATTTTCTTAATAAACAAACTAAAATATTTTCTTAGAAACTATGAGAAGTATGCTCTGTGATTGCCCGAATTGTGGCAATGTAGATATATTGTGGCAGTGTATATATTGTGGCATTGTATTTCAGACATTGAATTTTTGGCAGTGCATATATTGTGGCAGTGTATTTCGGACATTGAATTTTTGGAAGTACATATTGTGGCTAACATTATGGCGGTGTATATATTGTTGCAGTGTAGATATATTGTGGCAGTATATATATTGTGGCAGTGTATATATAATACAAATTTGTGTAATTAAGGGTAATATTGGGAATTCATCTCAAAAACTTATAGCACTGCTATTTTGCGTATTATAAGCCTATTAAAGTGCTATATTCGTATTTCTCCCTTTATATTTATGATATATTTCAGTTTCAGATATATTTTGTATACATATGTTATTTTCATATTATATACTACCTCCGTCCCACTGTCTTTGTCCACTTTTGACTTTTGGAACTGTTCATCTAAGCACTTTGACTCATCAAATTCTCTCAATGTGTAAGCCTAAATATAGTCATGTGTGATCTTGTTTGATTTGTCTTAACATATAGATTATTAATATATAATTTCTATAATTTTTTAATATACAAATTACGAGATAAAATGGATTAAAGAAGTGCATTGGATGGTGTGCCAAAAGGTAAGTGGACAAAGACAGTGGGACGGAGGGAATATATATATATATATATATATATATATATATATATGTATGTATGTATGTATGTATGTATGTATGTATGTATGTATGTATGTATGTATGTATGTATGTATGTATGTATATATATATATATATGTATATATATATGTATATATATATATGTATATATATATATGTGTGTGTGTGTGTGTGTATATATATATATATATATATGGGCCGGTTCCCGTGAGAATGCACCTTGTGGAGAGAAATGATAATAAAATCTAGTCATCGGATTTGATGCATCGTGCGGCTCAGATTGCGTCCTGCACCTAGATTTTAAGATAGTGCATTTTCGAAGGTTTATGGTGCATTTCGATGTGATGCATTTTCGCACCATTTTGGTGCATCTAATATTGATGAAATCTTGATCCTTAGATCTCACAATCTAAAGTACCAGATTCATTCTCATTTCTCTCCTAAGATTGCATTCTCACCAGAACCAAATTATATATATATATATATATATATATATATATATATATATATATATATATATATATCTCTTTTTGTCATATCATATTCATCATTATATCATCACATTTGTTAATAGTTCCTTAAATAAAACCACTGTTAATGAGAATTTGAAACAAAGTATCATAACAAGCTTTTAGTGATTATTTTAATCCAGAAAAATAGTTCTTGAGCTTGTAGACCAGATCATCGTTGTGATGTTGTTCAAAACAAGGATATTGCTTTTTGTATATGTCTCCTTTTGAATTTTCATTGAGGAAAACACTTTTGATATTCACTTGATAGACAGTGAAATGTTTGCAGATGTCAAACGTTAGTAATCACTTTATTTTCTCAAGTCTATGTCTCTTGTTTTTTTTAAATAGCATTTTGTCGTTAGTCTTTCTCTACTTTTCACAACTAATTAAGCCATTTCATTCATCTTACTCCTAACGACACATTAAGTCCCAGTGGCAAAGAGAGAATTCAAGATGATTGAACCATATCACAGTATTCAAGAGTAACATCTTATTTTAACTTTTTCACTGTTACATTTTAACAACATGTGCTTAGTTAGCTTTTTAAGCCAATATGGCAAACATCGTTAATTAAAGATCACAATTAAAGACCACAATGCTTCTATGAAGAATTTGTTTGTACTTGATAAAGCAATATACATTGTATATTTAATTGACAATGCAAAGTATTTGTTAGGAATGTATACAGAATATTTCAGACTTTCTTATAGAAAGTATAAATTTTCTACACATTGCATATTTAATTGACAAAGAGTAAAAGCATACACAAGCCCAAATACTATTCGAGCATGTCTTGGTTCACATTGCCCCTCCATCACGTAACAATCGATGCATACGTGACTAACAGTCTTCCCTTCACCAATTGCTGCTATTGAGAATCAAACTTGTGATATTGGTTCTGATTCTATTCATAGGACCTCAAACGCTACCAACTCTTTTAAAATTAATTAGTGTAAAAAAAGTGCATAATTTAGCCTTATAATGTATTCAACACACACAAGCACCCACAACATTTGAGTGTGACTTAGCTAACATAGTTACATAATCTCTGCAATGAGACAATTGATGCACACATGACCAACATAAAGTTTATGCTAAAAAATGCTCATAAAGTTTAGACTCTATAGACAATTTTTTCATAAAATTTTACTACTATGTTTTAAGAAAAACGGAGTACACAGTATTATTTATGCATATGACAATTGACATAGTTTCAATATTTTGAAAAATAACTTTGTTATTATTTATTAATATTAACTAATTTTTAAAAAAGTATTCTTGAATTTTAATTATGACTTTCATCAGTCCATTTATA